TGCACTCGCCACTGGCGCCGCCATCGGCCTCTGCGCCGCAAGGGCTGCGGACGGCGCCAGGCTGGCCTCTCGAGCTGCACACGCCGACGAGGCTGCGTTTCGGCGCTACGGCGCCAGTCTCCACGGCATGTCGGCTGCAGTGCTTTACGCCGGCTGGCGTGGCGGTGCTGCCGCGGTGCCTCCGGTCGCGCTGCTGGGCGGCGCCGCCGCCTTTGGCTCGGCGGTGCCCGGCTTCGCGCGCCTCAAGGGACCCAAGGTCCTCGAGGCCCTCTCTGTGATATCGCTCTGCGTGCTCGGCCGACTCGCGCAAACGGGTGGAGATGTAGCCGAGATGTTGCCGAGAGATGTTGCCGAGAATAGCCGAGATAGAGCCGAGGTTCGTCAGCCATACCCCGCCCGAGCACCCTCGCCAGGCCGGCGCGCGCCTCGATCAGAAACTGAGCCTTCGGCCTTTTCTCCGCCTCCTCTGGGCTCTCCTTAGGCGCGCTCCCCTTCGCCGACGCCTTCACCGCCGCGGCGCTCATCTACGGAGGGAACGGGCTGCAGTGGCTCATCCTCCCGCGCTACTCGGCCTCGCTCTACCGCTTCGAGGCCGAGATCGGGCCCGCCGCCACCGCCGCCGTGCGCGCGTGCGGCGGCACCCTCCTCGCGAGCGGCGCCTACATGCAGCTCTTGCGCCGGCGGGGGCACGCTGCAGGCCTCGCCGCCAGCGCTGGCCTGGCCGCCGCCCTCTCCCTCGCGCGCGCTGTGGGGGCGCTGCGCGCCGCACGCGCCGCCGCCGCCCGGCAGGGGTGCGGGTTGGACTACGCGCCAAGTATCGGCCGGGCAGCCGCCGCGGCGGCGGCGAGTGCGGTGATCGCGCTCGGGGCAACGCGGTGATTGCGCTTGGGGCATGTGTGATGCATGTAAGTAGGGCTGATGAGCACCTTCGTCCTTCGGTGTGTAGGTTTTCTCATTCAAATTCTTTCATTACTTGCCTGTGGTACTGCAAAAGTACCAGCAACCGTACAAGGAGCCCCTACAACCCCACTCCCGCCTCTCATTTGTGTCACACCACGCGGAACGCATCTGGCCATCTCCATCGCTGATCGCTTCGGTGAAGGGGGGTGAACCGCGCCATCCTCGATCGCCGTGGGGTGCAAAGCTCGCTTCCGAGCTCTCACGCCGCGCGTAGGGCCCTAAGGGCCCTAGAGATCACAGCCCCTCTCCCTTTTCTCCCAGTAAGCTCCCAACGCGGCCAAAGGATATCCACCTCGAGAACCTCGAGAAAGATAGAAACGCGCGCCCGCAGGTCCGCAGCAGCAAACCCAAGCTAGGCCCGACGAATGTGGCGCGATGCCCTGCGCAGAGCTACGCGCAGCGTGGCCCCACCTCTGGCGGCATCCGCGGCCGCCATCGCAGCGCAGAGCCACGTCCACGCACAGGAAGCCAAGCAGCCCGTGCGGCAGCGCACCGCGGCCGACCCAGAGGAGGACCGGTTCTTTGCCGTGTCGAGCAACGGGTGGATGCTGCAGTGCGACGACGGCGGCCATCTGGTCACGTGCTTTCCAAACTACGTGCCCGCTGCGAGGGACCTGCGGCAGAACTTTTCGCTCCGGGAGGGCGACATTGTGATTGCGACGTACCCGAAGTGTGCCGCATCCCCCCGTCAAACGGCACAGGCCGATTCGCCCTCCAACCACCTCGTCGTTCGCGCACTGCCCTGTAGGTGCGGCACGACGTGGACGCAGCAGGTGGTAATGCTGCTGCTGGCGCAGGGGGAGAAGGAGCTCGTGCAGCGGCCAACTTCGCTGGCGCCGTGGCTCGAGCTGAACCACGCGATGCGGACCAACATGCTCGCCTACGAGCCGCCGGAGGAGTGGCGGAAGCAGGGGCCCGCTGCGGGCAGGCGCGTCTTCAAGACGCACGCAGTCGCGGCGCTCGCGCCGTGGCGGGGTGGGGCGACGGAGGAGGGCATTCCGAGAGGGGCGGGCGTGATCGTCGTCACACGCAATCCAAAGGACGCGGCGGTGAGCTACTTCCACCACGGCCGGGACACCGTCCAATACAAGTACACCGGCGATTGGGCCCACTTCTTGCACGCCATCTTTCTGCCCGGCCTGGTCGACTTTGGAGACTTCTGGAGCTGGCACGGCACATGGTGGCGCGCGCGGGCGAAGCTGCCTCCCGACCGGCTGCTGTGGATCAGCTACGAAGAGATGCAGGCCGACCTGCCCGCCGTCGTCCGCCGCATCGCCGCCTTTGTCGGCGTCCCCGCCACGGAGGAGGTGGTGAGGGCGGTCGTCGCCGGCGCGTCGTTTGGAAGCATGCGCAAGGACTGGTCCGCGCTGGAGCAGGAGCAGCTGCACCAGACTGGCGTGGTGACCAAGAAGAATCACGTGCGGCAGGGCAGGAGCGGTGCCTGGCGCGAGGCGATGTCGGAGGCGGACAGCGACGCGATTGACGCGACGCACGCGGCGCGGTGCCGGGCCGAGGGATTACCGTCGTCGTTGTGGGAGATGTCGTGATGTGTTCTCTTCTTCGATCTTAACCCTAGTAGGTGGATAGTGTCGCTCGGTTTTCGAAAGGCGCTTTCTCCCCCACACTCCCTCACACAAAAAGAGAATCTTACAACAAAACTCCCTCGCACAACACTGGGCACGGGACTGGCGCGCACTGGCACGAACACAGGTACACCACGGGAGCCGCCTAAGCGACTCCTGCGAGGGTGGCGAGGCACTTAGCTCCGTGCACCCGCCCACCCCCGCCACAGGCAAGCTCATTCACGACCTGCTCTGCGATGGCCGTGTGAAGAACGACTGAGATGCGCTGCTTCTGCAGCCCCAGCCAGCTCTTGGTGGTCCAAGTCACCTCATCGAGGTACTGGGCCCGCGTCAGCTTGTTCTGTAGCACGTCCGCCGCTCTCCGGAGGATCTCACGGACCCCCTTTCCGAACCCGCCGAACGATTCGAACAGCAGCAGCTGCACTTCGACGCCCTTGTCTTCCCTGGCGTAGCGATAGTCCCCGCCGTAGGACGGTATGCGGCGGTCGCCGCCCACCACCCTGCCCCCCCTGGTATGCCAGCGCCCAGTCCCTTGCCCTCTCTCGCCCTTGCTCTTCCTCTCCCCCTCCATGCCGCCCCCCCGGTACCCCTCCCCCTCCCCCCCCCCCTCGTCCTCTCCCCCCCCCTCTCCCTGCCCCCCACCTCCCTCTCCGTCCTCGCAGTAGGGCCCATGCCCCATGACCATGTTCCGGTAGAATGATTCAGTGTTGCCGAAAGCGACAAAAGCGCCCTTCCGACCGTGCTCCCCGCTGCTGCTGAGGGGACAGACGACCTTGACGTCTCCGCAATAGTGCGTGCCGTGCGAGCCAATGTTGTCCGCGTCCACGTCGGGTTGTTTGTTGTAACTCTGACCGAGGTGGGCTTTCGGCTCCATTCGCACAGCGGTGCCCCACGCGGCGCGTAGGGCGAGGATGAGGCGTCGAAGCGTGTACTTGTGTCTGGTGTTGTGGCCCTGCTGCGGTACGTTGACAGCAGCGTCGCCATACTCGTCGTGGGTCTTCCCATTCCGAGTCTTCTTGCCCGCCGCCGCGGCCTGGCAGGCCACGTCGAGGGGGAGACCCAGGGCGTCGGCCAGCTGCACGGCGCCGTCCTCCGCAGACACGCCGCAGCAGCGCTGCCAGTGGTCGTCGAGCGCGGAGGCCTGCGCCTCGTGCTGAAGGAGGCAGGCGCGGAGGGCGGTCTTGGCGGAGGCGACGCCTTCGGCCGCGGCCTCGAAGGGACCGTCCCCGTCCTCGTCGGAGGAGAACCGCCTCCCGTGAGCTGGTCCCGTTGGCGGCGGGTAGGCCGGCACCTGGGTGGCAGGCTCGGGCGGCGAGGGCAGGGTCGACGGCGGTGGCCGGAGCTCGCCTCCCAATCGTGGGAGCGAGCAGCTTCCGGGTGGCTCCTTTACACCCCCATATGCACTGCCGCCTGTTTCGGAAAAACGCACCCCGCTCGGCTGGACACGCCCCACAGACGGGGACAGGGGACGCGGCTCCCCTTGCGCCGATTGCGGCGGCGGCGGCGGCGGCGGCAGCGGCGGCGGCGGCGGCGGCGGTGGCGGCAGCGGCCCGGAGTACCGACGGCTGATGCCGCCGTCGGTGCTGGGCTCCTGGCGGCGCATGACCCTGTTCCCCGAACGGAACGCATCCGGGCCCGATTTGCGCCTGGCGCCCGAGAGCTCCCACCCCCCCTCCGCCGTCGCGCGCTTCTCGAGGACGACCCGCAGCGCGCCAGTCTTGATGACGCGCCAGAACTCCAGGTTCTCGAAAGGATCAGTCACGCCCGCTTTGTAGAGATGCGTCGCCGCCGCGCACAGCGCCTCGTCGAAGGCCTTGAACGTCTTCTCGAACCTGGGGTAGGTCGCGCCGGACGGCCCCCCGGCGCGCCCCACCCGTCGGCCTTCCTCGTCCGTCGCGTATCTGGCGAGCCGAGGGCCTCGCGGCAGGTGGCGCTCCATGTCTTCCACCGCGCTGCTGAGGCGTTCGAGCAGCGGCAGCGACGGCGGCGCCGCTGGCAGCTGGGCGACCCGCCGGGCGTACCTCCCCTCGCCGAGGAACTCGTCGCAGAAAGCGGTCGTGGCATAAGCGTAGTCGAACTCCGCCTCGACGCAGTGGACTAGGAGGGGAATCACCCGGCTCACGTGGACCGCCACGAAGCGCTCGGGAATGCGGAGGAGGCCCTCGGGGTAGTAGGCAAACGCGCCGCCGCTTGGCCGCCAGTGCCGCTCGATGTGCGCGTCGAGCGCGCGAGCCACCAAGTGCGCGCGCCCGACGTGGGCCACCCTCGCGCGTCCCCATGCCTCGTCGTGCCCCTGCAGCGCTGCCGTCTTCTTGGCGCTGCGCTCGCGCTGCGCGCGCCATGCCTCCTTCTCTCGCGCCCGTTTGCGCTGCCGCTCGGCTTCCTCCTCGGCCGCGAGTTCCTGCGTTCTCGTCGCGTCAAAAGAGAAAAGTGCTCGCGAAGAGGAGAAGTCGTCGGCTTGCCGCCGTCAGTCCAGCAGAGGCGCTGCCCCTTTGAGCGCGCCGCTTGGCCTTGCTGCACGGCGCAGCTGCATACGCGGCCTCTGCTTCCCGAAGTGTCTGCGCGTTCACACTTCACGTTCCCCAATTTAGGATGAATCTCCCTCCGGCGGAGGATCCGACAGAGATCGTAGACAACGTGCGCTGCGCCCTCGCGTGCTGCGTCCAATTGGCACCGCGCCCGACCGTCATGCCGTGAGCAGAGCCCTTCCTTCCCACCCACGCCACAGTCTATCAAAAAGAAGTACGAGATTGTCCAGAAGCTCGGCAAGGGTGCCTACGCCGTTGTCTTCAAGGCAGCGCCCGCCTCGCGCGCGGCCTCCAGAGCCGAGCTCACGCCGCACCTGCAAGCGTCGGCGGCTTTCCCGGGCTCCGCTGTTGGGAAGGGCTCATTCCGCCCCACCGCTTCGCAGGCGGTGGACAAGAAGACGAAGAGCGTGGTCGCCCTCAAAAAGATCTTCGACGCCTTCCAAAACGCCACCGACGCGCAGCGCACCTTCCGTGAGATCATGTACTTGCAGGCGCTCTGAACACGCTCCGCCGTTAGTGCCGCACGCCTCATGCCTAGCGAACTTGAAACCCTCTCCCACGCCGGGAATCACGAGGGCGGAATACCAGCCGGTGGTCTGTCCGCCCCTTCCCGCCGGCGATGTCTCTTCCGCCCGCCGCCTCTCCACCGCCCCTCTCGCTGCCCCCTCTCTCCTCCCCTTCCCCCTCTCTCCTCCCTGGCCGCCTCTCTCCTCCCCTGCCGCCTCTCTCCTCCCCCGCCTCCCGCCCTCCCCGCCGCCTCTTCTCACCGCCTCCTCCGCCACCGCCTCCTCCGCCACCGCCTCCTCCCTCACCGCCTCCCCCCTCCCCGCCTCCTCCCTCACCGCTTCCTCCCTCACCGCCTCCCCCCTCCCCGCCTCCTCCCTCACCGCTTCCTCCCCTCCTCCCCCTCCTCAGGCGCTGGCGGCGCGGGGCGACGAGAACATCATCCGGCTGCAGAAGGTGATGAAGGCGGAGAACGACAACGACATCTACCTCGTCTTCGACTACATGGACACGGACCTTCACGCCGTGATCCGCGCCAACATCCTCGAGCCGGTCCACAAGCAGTTCATCGTGTACCAGATGCTCAAGGCGCTCAAGATCTGCCACGCCGCTGACCTGGTGCGGCCACCCGGGCGAGGTCGGGCGAGATCGGGCGAGGTCGGGCGAGATCGGGCGAGATCGGGCGAGGTCGGGCGAGATCGGGCGAGGTCGGGCGAGGTCGGGCGAGGTCGGGCGAGATCGGGCGAGATCGGGCGAGATCGGGCGAGATCGGGCGAGGTCGGGCGAGGTCGGGCGAGATCGGGCGAGGTCGGGCGAGGTCGGGCGGATGGAGGGAGATGGAGCTGGATGGGAGATGAGGCCGGTGAGATGGTGCGGGGCTGGAGACCTTTCCCGGACCCTTCCTCAGACCTTTCCCGAACCCTTCCTCGCACCCTTCCCGGACCTTTCTTCGGACCTTTTCCGCCATCCTTCTCTTGCAGGTGCACCGCGACCTCAAGCCGTCAAACCTGCTGCTCAACGAGGAGTGCCTCTGCAAGGTCGCCGACTTGAGATCACACGAGATCACACGAGATCACACGAGATCACACGAAGAGTGCCTCTGCAAGGTCGCCGACTTTGGGCTGGCGCGCTCGCTGCGCGCGCTCAAGCGAGGCGAGGAGTCGGCGTGTCGGTGCTGACATCTCCCCGCATCTCGCCACATCTCCCCATCTCTCGACTAGGCGAGGAGTCGGCGTCAGTGCTGACAGACTACGTTGCAACGCGCTGGTGCCGCGAGAGACAGCCGAGATACAGAGAGAGAGCCGAGAAACACAGAGAGAGAGAGCCGAGAGACAGCCGAGAGAGAGAGAGAGAGCCGAGAGAGAGCCAAGAAACAGAGAGAGAGCCGAGAGAGAGCCGAGAGAGAGAGCCGAGAGAGAGAGAGCCGAGACACTCTCAGATACCTCCGAGACGCCTCCGAGACACCTCCGCGACATTGCGGAGACACGGCGCCCTCCCTCCCCCCTCCCCTCCCTCCCCCCTCCCCTCCCTCCCCCCCCCGTGTCAGGTACCGCGCGCCGGAGATCATGCTCGGCTCCACCTGCTACACAAAGGCGGTCGACAGGTGGGCGGTCCCATTTCTCCCCGTATCTCGCCATATCTCCCCAGATCTCGACTAGGCGGTCGACATGTGGGCGGTCGGCTGCATCGTCGCGGAGATGTTCGTCGGCCGGCCGTTGCTGCCCGGCACGCGCAACGAGATAGATCGGCTCGAGAGGGTGCGAGCAGCTCTTCACACCTCCTCCTGCGGTGAGCAGGCACGAGCACGATGGATCAGCTCAAGAAGGTGATCGAGGTGACGGGCAAGCCGACGGAGGAGGACATCGCCGCGATGCAGTCAAAGTACGCAAAGACGATGATCGACTCGATCCTGCCGGCCGGGCACAGGCTCGCGTTCCGGTCGATGGACGCCATCATGAGCGGCGCGCCGCCCGAGGCGATCGACATGGTCAAGAGCCTGGTGCTGATGCTCGCCGGCCCCGAGAGGACCCGAGGTGACCCGAGATGACCCGAGATTAGGTCAAGAACCTGATGACGTTCGACCCGACGGCGCGGTTAACGGTGGAGGGCGCGCTGGCGCACCGGTGGATGGCGGACTTCTACACGGGCAAGGAGCTGGGCTTCGACGGGGAGCTGGTCATCCCGATCGACGACGGCGAGAAGAAGACGCTCGCAGAGTACCGCACCAACCTGTACGACGAGGTGTGCAAGGCGCGCAAGACGCCGTCGCTGTACGAAAAGTACATCCGCAGGCGAGCGCCGAAGAGCAGCGAGGCGGCGTGAGGCGGCGTCGAGCCCGCGCCCCTCCCTCCCCCCGGGGGGCAGGAGGAGGAGGAGGGGGGGCGCCGGCGCCACGTGCTCTAGCGAGCCGACTCCCACACCGCCGCTGCTTGCTCGCGCCGCTGCCCACCGGAAGCCCCTTCCGCCTGCGGAGGAGGAGCTCCGCCGGACTCTGACTTGTGCGCCATCTTTTGCATGCCGCTTTTCCCATCCGACATTCCCCCCCAGACGCCTTCAGTCGTCGTGTAATACACCCTCCAGCCTCTCCGCGTCACACACTCTGAGTCTCTGCTCTCTCAGACTCTCACTCCGCCCGCTCCCCTCAGCAGTCTCTCTCTCTCGCGCGCTCTCTGTCCCGCCTCTCTGTCTGTTAATCTCGGCGCACGCTCTCAACACCTACCGATTGTATGATTTGTCCTATTTTCCGGAAAAGATCGGCATTACCTGATTTTGAGACATGAGTGATGAGAGCTCCGCGTCCCTGACATTACACATTTAACCCCTAAACGGCGTTCCTGTCAGTACTGACAGGAACGCCGTCGATTTTATTCCTTTGCAGGACGGCTGGTCGGAGCGACGGCCGATCCAGCAGTCGTCTGCGACATGGCAGTGGCCCCGGGTCATGTGCAGCTGGTCCCGAGCGGCTCAGGTCCCAGATCGAATCTCGGACCCACAGATTCTAGATTCCTTTAGATTCCCTGGATTCCCGCAACAACGATCTCTTAGCGGCGGCAAACAGAGGCGCAACTCTGCCAGCAGCGAGGAGGCTCCTGCTGCTCAGCTACCGAGGCCTGGTGGCGTCGGCTGCTGCGTGGAGAAGACAGCAGCACTGTCCGACCTCAAAACATGCACAACAAGCGGGATTTGTGACTCTGTCCTCGATTCTTCAGTCGCTCAAGCGATTGCGCGAAATCCCACACTGGTGGATTTTGGGGCGCTGTCTACCCCCTACCTTCTTGTTTCATTCACAACGAAGGCTAGCTCAAAAAAGTATCTGAAATCCGTGATCATTTTCGATAGTTTACGGATTACGCGAAACGACGACAACTTTCCATGTCCAGATGAGAGTGTGCGAGAGGCGGTGCTGACTGCTGTGAGCAGGCGATCGGGCGACATGCATGGGGAGTGATGCCTGCCCGGCCGCACAGCGCGCGGCCCAAACTCCGATCGAGACTCATCAGTACTGCTCCGCGTCCTCAAAGCTCCCGCCCAATCGTGCCGCGATCCTCGCCGCCACCCCCGCAGCCTCGCTCTCGCCGTACTCTGCCGCCGCCGCCGCCGCCGCCGCCGCCGCCGTCGGGCCCGGGAGCTGACCGCCCGACAGCGAGAGGCGCTTCTCCTGTGGGCAGACAGAGACAACTCGCGGGGGTCAAAAGACGAGGCGTGGGGTGGGGGGGTGGGGGGGGGGGGGGACAGCGCCGCTCGTCTGGGAGGCGCGAGAGCTGACCTCCTTCACGTTGCGGGCGAGGTCGGACAAGTTCGAGAAGAAGGCGGCAGACGCGGCGTGCTGCGCGTCGTGCGCCAACTTGCTCCACGCGTCGTGCGCAAGCTCAGTCCACGACCCGCACGTGGCGGCCGCCTAGTGGTAGTACACCCCGTAAACCTCGCCTCACTCCCACAAAAGATCGGACCCCTATCCACGCCCCAAGCGACTAGCGATGCAAGTGACGTGGCTTAAATCCACACAGGGACTGGGGAGGCGGGAAACGCGGCGGCCGGCGGCCCGCCTCGTCGCTCCGCACGGCGCCTACGCAGGAAAGTTCCGAGACGGTTCCCATGGACAGCAGCTCTCGACACCCGCCCGCGTCTCGTCGCTCAACGCCGCGCGCGCCCGCGAGCAGAGAAGAGCCGTTCCCCTCCCCTCTGGCGGCGGCGGCGTCGGCCTCCTCTTCCTCCTCGTCCGGCGGCGGCGGCGCGGCGGCGGCGGGCGGACTCGCAAAGAAAGCCAGGAAGAGGAGGAACCCGACCGAGAACGCCGCCAGCGCGCTCGCCGCGAAGATGCGCCTAAGGACTCTTCCTAGACACCTCCTAGACACCGCCCAGACTCTTCTCCGGCAGGCTCGCTGCGCATTCGACGCGCCCCTGCGTTGAGGCCAGCGAGGTGTCGATGCCGATCGCGGCCTCGAGGGCGGAGATCGGCCGACCCGGACTTGGGGCCGCCGGCGAGGGCGGCGGCGAGGGCGGCGAGGGCGGCGGCGAGATGCAGTCGAGGATGAAGTCCGACTGGCCGCACACGGCCGCCTCGCTCTCCGCCGGCGCCACACAGAGGGCCGTCCCCGCCGAAGTGTTCGAGTAGTACCGCTCGCACGCAGCATGGGAGGACGGCAGCTCCCAGCAGTGCTTGGCGGTGCGCCCGTCGCGCAGCTGCTGCCGCCCCGCCAATTGGTCGCCGCAAGGAGCCGGCGGCGGCAGGAGAGGCGGCGGCGCTCTCGGCGGCAGCGGCGGCGGATAGGGTGGCAGGGAGCAGTAGATTGGCGCGGCCCAGTCCACCGCGCACCTTGGACACACACCGCCCACAAGTTGGTCCATTCGTGAGGCGAGAGTGGTTCGAGCTGCCTCTCGACTGCTCTGGTGCACCTTGAGTCCCAGACCCCCGTCCACAGGTTGAGGAAGCGCCGCCAGTAGCACAGGTAGAGCACCTAGTAGTGTAGTAAGCAACTCCAAGCTCGGACCCCTCTACCGACACCACCACCCAAGCGACTAGCGACACAGGGGACGTGGCTTAACACACACGGAGACGGGGCGTGTGGGGGGGGGGGGGGGGGATAGAGCTCTAGGGGCCCGATCTTGGAATGGAGGAGTTGCTTACTACTGACGAAGGTAGAGCACCTGCCGCCCCTCCATGTAGTTCTCCGAGATGCGCGACTCGTCGTTGCGCCCGGTCTCCTAATGAACTAATTAATTGACACTTCGAATTGACTGCGAGAGGCGCGACTCGTCGTTGTGCCCGGTCTCCTATTCCACTCCACAGATGGATCAAGTATTCTCCCGAGGACCCGCCTCGCCGATCGCCCGCCCGCCCTCCTTCTCTGCGGTGAGGTAGTAGCTCTCGCACTCGGCCTGGTCGGCATTGCGCTCCTGGCGGAAGGCAGAGAGGAAGGGGTCTCGGCCACCGTGGCTCCAGTCTCCCCCCCTCCCTGTGGGACCCCACGCCACGTCTCCTGTCGCTATGCGCAGTCACTGGCTACGGGTCGGAAC